AAGGGTTCACACCATCTCCGCCTTGTGAGGCGCCTTTTGTAGGACCAAACTGTGAGGCCAAAGGGGCCAGAGTGGACAATACTTCACAAGGGTGTGAACCGTGGCAGAAGGCTGATCTGAGACGCCGGAAGGGTGAATGCCCGGATCCCGGAGCCGCGCGAGTTCGGAGCTTGAGTCTCGACCCGTGACAAGTGGTATCAGAGCGAGTTCGATTCTGCGTGTTTGTGTTGTGCAGGTTAGATCGTGATTGAGGAGATTGCATCCCAAAGCGACGTTGCTAGCCAACAACCAGAGGCCCAGGAGCCAGCAAGGGAACATAAGAGAGTATGTTCAAAAATTCTCTGAACTGATGCTACAGATCTCGGATCTAGGCGAGAAGGACACATTCTTTGCTTTCATGGATGGGCTGAAGCCGTGGGTGAAGCATGAGCTACAAAGGAGAGGAGTTCATGACTTGGCTAAAGCCATGACTACTGCCGAGGCCTTGATAGAGTTCAAACCTCTGAACAAGTTCGAGTCTTCCAAGCCCAAGGGTAAGGGCAAGGACGATAGGGACCGGAAGAAGCAGTTCAATGGGAAAGATCGTGACCAGGAGTCCAAGGATGGAGATCGAGACCGTTCAACCAAGGATGACGAGAGGAAGCCATCAGCAGGCAAGTGGAAAGCAAAGGGGGACCGAGAGCCACTAGCATGCTACCTATGTGGAGGGAGCCACATAGCGCGCAATTGCCCGCAGAAGGGCAAGCTGGCTGCTGTAGACAAAGAGTCTGACGAGGAGCCAGAGTCAGGGGCAGCAAAGCTTGGGTCGTTGGTGCTCAATGCTGTCCAGAGTAAGGGGAGCCGCAAGCCAAAGGGCTTGATGTTTGCGGATCTGATGGTTGCGGGTCAAAAGGTGAGCGCACTGATGGACACAGGTGCCTCACATCTTTTTATTTCAGGTGATGGAGCCCAGAAGCTCGGACTGAAAGTGCAAAAAGGGACTGGTACCATTAAGACGGTGAACTCCAAGGAAGTTCCAGCCATTGAAATAGCACGGGAGTGGAGTTACAGCTTGGAGATTGGAAAGGCAAGGAGACCATTGAGGTAATACCCCTTGACGACTATGAGTTTGTGATTGGGTTGGATTTCCTTGTTCGGATTAACGCCCTCCTTGTGCCTTTTGCCGATTGTGTTTGCATCTTGGATGCACGGTGCCAATGCCTAGTACCATTGAGGAGAGGGTCTGGAGTTGGGTCGCGGGTGGTGTTAGCTATCCAATTTGCCAAGGCGGTAAGCAGACAAAAAGACACCTTCTTGGCAGCCCTGAAATATGATGAGCCAAAAGAGAAAGACCGAGTCACCCTTGGAGGTACTAAAGGTGCTGAAAACCTTTAGTGATGTGATGCCCGCAAAGCTGCCTAGCAAGCTACCACCTAAGAGGGAGGTGGACCACAAGATCGAACTGGTGTCCGAGGCCAAGCCACCAGCCAAAGCCCCTTACCGAATGTCTCCACCAGAGTTGGAAGAGTTGAGGAAGCAGCTCAAAGAGTTAGTTGATGCTGGCTTCATCAGGCCATCAAAAGTACCTTATGGTGCACCGGTTCTATTCCAGCGCAAGCATGATGGGTCGTTGCGACTGTGCATAGACTACCGGGCTTTGAACAAACTGACCATCAAGAACAAGTACCCCATCCCACTCATTGCGACTTGTTCGATCAACTTGGAAGCGCAAGGTGGTTCACCAAGTTGGATTTGAGGTCAGGCTACTATCAAGTCAGGATCGCGTTGGAAGATGAGCTCAAGACAGCATGTGTCACTCGGCATGGTTCGTATGAGTTCTTGGTGATGCCTTTCGGACTCACGAATGCCCCAGCAACATTCTGCACCCTTATGAACAAGGTACTTCAATCATTCCTTGATTGATTTGTTGTGATTTATTTGGATGACATTGTGATCTACAGCCAGACTTTGGGAGAGCATGTAGACCACTTAAGACAGGTGTTCGAGGTGTTGCGAGCGCACAAGCTGTTTGTCAAAAGGGAGAAGTGCTCATTCGCCCAGCAGGAGATCCCGTTCCTTGGCCACATAGTGGGAGGTGGCAGGATACGCATAAATGAAGGCAAGATAGACGCGATCCTGGAGTGGCAACCGCCAGCCAAGGTCACTGAGTTGAGATCATTCCTTGGGCTAGTTAACTACTACAGTCGCTTCATCAAGGGTCACTCAGCAATAGCCACGCCATTGACTGACTTGCTCAAGAAAAAGAGAGCATGGGAGTGGAACGCAGGGTGCTAGGAAGCCTTTGACAGGTTGAAACGGGCTGTGACCGAGGAGCCAGTCTTGGCCTTGCCAGACCATGCCAAACCATATAAGGTGCATACGGATGTATCAGACTTTGCCATAAGGGGCATGTTGATGCAAGAAGGACGTCCAGTCGCGTTTGAGAGTAGGAAGCTGAACGAGACTGAACGTAAGTACACGATCCCAGAGAAAGAGATGACTGCAGTGGTGCACTGCTTGCGCACTTGACGCCATTACCTGTTGGGGTCGAGGTTCGTGGTGAGGACGGACAATGTGGCGACCAGCTACTTCCAGACGCAGAAGAAGCTGTCCCCCAAGCAGGCGAAATGGCAAGATTTTCTTACGAAATTTGACTTTCAGATGGAGTACAAGCCGGGACGGGCGAACCTAGTGGCAGACGCCCTGAGCAAAAAAGCTAACCTTGCTGCCATTAGCCAACCAGAGGGGTCACTGGTGCCGCGCATCAAGGAAGGACTTGCGCATGATCCTACAACTAAGGCTTTAATGGAGTACGCCCAGCAAGGTAAGACTAGGCGATTTTGGTTGCAGGATGGCTTGCTGTACACCAGGGGCAGTAGACTGTGCCGTAGCACCGGAAGCTCCGCAAGGAAGTTTTGCAAGAATGTCATGATTCAAAGTGGGCTGGACACCCAGGAGTGAGCCGCACCTTGACGTTGATCGAGGATCGGTACTACTGGCCGCACATGAGGGACGATGTGAAGGCCTATATAAAGACTTGTTTTGTGTGCCAACAAGACAAGGTGGAGCTCAAGAAACTAGGGGGTCTCTTAGAGCCATTGCCAGTGCCAGAGCGACCATGGGAGAGTGTTTCTCTGGACTTTATAGTCGGTCTACCCAAGACAGAGGGGTTTGGAAGCATCATGGTAATGGTGGACAGGTTTTCCAAGTATGAAATTTTCATTCCAGCAACCAAGGAATGCCCAGCCGAGGAGGCAGCTCGATTGTTCCTGAAAAACGTGGTTAAGTACTGAGGAGTGCCGAGGACCATTGTTAGTGATCGGGACGGGCGATTCACGGGCAGGTTCTGGACTGAGTTGTTCAAGCTGTTGGGGTCAGACTTGAACTTTTCCACCAGCATGCATCCGCAGACCGATGGACAGACAGAACGTGTGAACGAACTATTGGAGGTCTACCTCAGGCACTATGTGAGTGCCACACAAAGGGACTGGCCAAAGCTACTGGATATTACGCAGTTTTCCTACAACTTGCAAAGGAGCGAGGAAACGAACCAGAGCCCATTTGAGGTTGTGACAGGGTAACAACCACTAACACCCGGTTCGATTGCTGCAGGTTATACAGGGCCGAATCCAACAGCATACAAGTTTGCCAAGGCATGGCAGGAGCAAATTGACTTGGCCAGAGTTTGTCTACACAAGGCGGCCAAAAGGTCGAAGAAGTGGGCAGACCAGCATAGGCGGGATGTGCAATTCCAGGTTGGAGACTTGGTGTTGGTGAAGCTGCATCCCATTGTGCGCCACAGGGGGCTGCACAAAGGCCTAATCCGGAGGTATGAGGGACCTTTCCAAGTAGTCAAGAAGGTAGGCAAAGTTGCCTACAAGCTGGATATGCCACCCAAGCCGAGGGTACACCCGATGTTCCATGTGAGCATGCTCAAGCCGTTCTATGAGGATGAGGGAGATCCAGGACGGGCAGAGTCAAAACGTGCGTCGTTGGGAACAAAGGCCTCATATGAGAAGGAGGTCCACAGCATTATGGCTGACCGGAAGGTGAGACGGAAGAACTATCAACCAAGACATGAGTACTTGGTGCGCTGGAAGGGACTTTCAGACAGTGAGGCGAGCTGGGAACCAGCAGAGGACTTATGGCAGTTTGGGGACCAGATCAGGCGGTACCATGCAAAAGACGCAACGAGGGCGTTGCGCAATCAGGTGAGGGAGAATGTCACGCCCTGGACGGGCGCGCCAGGCACATCAGGCAGACCAGCAGGCGAACCAGAGGCTGAGGCCCACAGACCAGGCGTGCTGGCAGGTATCTGTGAGCAAAGCCTATCAAACGAGCTCAGAACGCCCGCCCGACTTGCAGGCCAGCCCATGAGACCAAGGCCTGTCATACAAGCTGCCCGCACCACATCCAGAAGGGCCCAAGGTGCTGGACACGCAAGGGAAGCTTTTGGAACCAGGCAGGATCAGCATCAGCATCCTGACAGATTTGGTTGACCCTGAAAATCAGGAGCCAGCATCTTGATTGATTGTAATCCCATGATTTTAGCCTTTATTCTAGGGATATGCCATTAAGTTGTAGCTGGAGCCTCAACTATAAATAGAAGGCTGCTCCACCCTCATTTGTACACCATCAAACACTTCTGTTTCAGTGAATACAAGAGCATTTCCAAAATTTTGTCTTCCTGTCCTGTTTCTCTTTAACTTGCGTAATCAGCCCTTCCCATTGTTCTAGTACCCGCACGCTTGTGTTTTAGGGATAAAGGAGGAGATTCCAAGTCTAAGGCCGCACGGATTCTGAGTTTAAGGTCGGAGCCCGTGACAATTGATATCAGAGCCAACCCTAAACCGTTCGATCCACGCCAAGCCCCTCGAGGGAGGTAGGCAGAGTAGCCGACCTCCGTGACGAGGACGTCACGAGGTTGGGTGCGGGAGAATGTCACGGACCTAAGGGGGAGTCCTGAATCCCACATCGAACATAATAGGAAGGTCACTGGGATATAAAAGGGTTCACACCATCTCCGCCTTGTGAGACGCCTTTTGTAGGATAAAACCGTGAGGCCAAGGGGGCCAGAGCGGACAATACCTCACAAGGATGTGAACCGTGGCAGAAGGTTGATCTGGGACGCCGAAAGGGTGAATGCTCGGGTCCCGGAGCCGTGCGGGTTCGAAGCTTGAGTCTCGACCCGTGACACAAGCACCATCCTCTCTTTCAACAGAGCAATAGAGAGACTTCCTGTATGACCTTAGAAGCAATAATTTTGTATACCCTTTATATCATGAGATGCATGTTCGTACACTTCGTATCAAGATGCACATGCTTAGTATAAAGGATAAAATGAAAGGGTACAGCACGGCAATGCGCGGCAACCATCTCTATACCATACATTTATGCTTACTTGGACCGAGCTGAGCTCAACATCCCTTGGCTACCTGTCATGTCAACCATTTAATGCTTCCATCCAAACTCAATGTCTCTTTTTTCTATTCTACTGCTATAAAACCCTTTCTTTTAACTACTCCTTTCACCATCCAAACCATACTTGATACTTCTCCATTTCAGATTCTATGCAAACTTCTTTTCCCTCCATCTATTTCCTGTATAGATTGGCATATTACTATTGATTTCCTTGGAAAACAATGAAGGGGAAGTTTCTAAAGGCATGCCTTACAAAATGGAGGAAGATGGGGAGTAGAATCATACCTTGTGGCAGCTGCAAATACTGTTATCAGTGGGCAAATTGGCCTGATTCCATGCATGAAGAGAGGTCAATCCCAAGGGATGTGCCCAACGGTCACTTGGCAGTGTATGTGGGTGAAAACAATAGGAGGTTTGTGATTAAAATCACCTTGCTCAAGCACCCACTTTTCAAGGCATTGCTGGATCAAGCTCAGGATGAATATGATTTTACCACTGACTCCAAACTATGCATTCCTTGTGATGAAAGCCTCTTCCTCGATGTTGTTCGTTGTACTAGCTCCCCACAAGATCGAAGGCTCTCCCAGTTTCTTTAGGAATTCATGCTAGGAATTTGATTCATATTCACGAGGTCCGAGTCCTAATGAGAATGCTACTATGCAGTATACTGAGTAGATTTTTATAACAAATTCTGTAGCCTATTAATGTAACTCAATTGAAAAATATTAACTTCTGTTTTCCCTCGAAAGTTCTGTTTCTAAGGGCATCAACTGCTCAAGCCAAGCAATAGAAAGCGCTTTGCCAAAGCAGAACCCAATTACACAGTACCATGCCAGATCAGCACTGAACAAGAAGCTGGACCAAACCCCACCTCCTGACAACATCGTGACAGTTTCCAGCTCTGGCATCTACCTTATCTTTGAAACTTAAAGCAATAATAAAAGCTACTTAAAAAAAAAGGCAATTATAAAAGCTAATTGACGTAAACAAATAGAACTAAAGATCAAGCTTGTATTACTGTCAGAGAAAATTGCAGTCAATGGAGATGAAAGTTCCTTACTCTCCTCGAACCCATCTCAAGGTCAGTGTCTGTGTCTCTGATATTTAGTTATTTACCTGTAATATTAAAGCAGACTGCATGCTAACAGATAAACGTAAAAAACAGATGATTAATCAAGGAGATCAGACACTCAAGGTGTTGCCAGGATTATCAAAGTAGGATTCTTTGAGGTCTGACCAGGTTTTCAATTTCAGGAGCTAATGCTGCAAGAAGAATGAACAGAATAGAGATCAAGTGTTTGAAATCAAATTATGACTAGATTGGCAAGCACAAAGTTTGAAACTCAGAAACGAATCCAATCCCAGCCAGTTAGTGTTAACATGGGATATGCATGATGATAGGTAGGTTATAAGTCAAAAGATAAGAAAGTTATTCTCCTCTGCTCTAGGAAACAGTGAATGCAGGACCAATGTCAAAGAATTTCTTCAGCTTTGGACCTCAAAAGTAAATCTGATTGGCACGGGGAAAGCAAAGTTTATCAATTTGTTGCTTTCTTAGATTTTTCACATATTCTCTCAACAAGAAGCACCATAAAAATGCAAAAGAGACAATTCAAGCACTTACTTGGGCTTACATGATGAAGGCTAGCAAGGTAGAAAATAAGGAAAGTAAGATAAAGCATACTTCAAGGTTGCATGCTTGTACAAATCTGTGAAAATGTGCATGATGTAGCACGTAAGTGCAAGTTGTTATGTAATGCCCTGAAATTGTTTATTTGTAGCATAATGAATTATACTACACACTGACATAATCTCCAATAGTAATTGATATTCTTAAGTTTCCAACTTTTCCATTCAACCAACATTAAGTAATTCAACATCCAACCACACGCTCATATAATGAAACTAAGCAACTAAAAGAGAAACAGAGAAGGCAACCATCTGGTGAAACACAATTCTGCAAGGGGCACTGATAGAATTGACACCATTAAAAGTACAAGAACAGTAGTGATATGATAGAATATCTCAAATATTTGGGCTAAGAATCATACACCAATTCGCATATAGTTGATTCTTGTATTCTATTCTTGGCACATCAGCATCTGATATCTAATTGTCTATAAAACAAGGTGAATAGGTACAGAAACTTGTTCTTCGCATGACAACATATCTACACATCATCCATCTACACTTGCTTAAGTGTCCAACAAATATTGACAAAAAGCGTGTGTTTTCGTACGAAGGACTGAAGGAGACTTGTCCAAAAAACTCAGCATAAAAATGGAATCATCAGAATGACAAAATGCTACCCACTAAAATGCATTTGTATCTGAAAAACTATCAAATAATCAGAAAATCATGACTCATCAACAAACACTGGTGGAAAATTTAGTAAGAGCACATACATAGATAATGCTTATGATAAGATCCTCCATATGGAAGGATAAAAAGATTGTACAGCCATCAGATTGCCATCAACATGGAGGTAAATGTATTTCAAAGGCCAAAGCACAAAACCTTCTCTTAGAATCCAAAATCAGTACCATTGAACCTGTCCAACTACATCTGCAAAAAGAGCCGCTTCATACCTGCTGCTACCCAATAGCCAAAAACATAGGAATAGCAGCATCCATTTGGAGGATAATGTTCACAATTTAATTCTATCTTACATCATTTGGGTCAATTTGAACCTGGCAAATATATAAGAGGGCATTCATCATTACGATCTGTTACATCAGTTGTCTAACATAGATCCCCTTAAATCCTAATTCACCATGCCAATTTATTGAACTTCCACAACCCTATGCAACTTAGCAACAATTACAAGCAACTTTCCATAACCTTTAAAAATTCATTAACACAGACAGGTTAAACACATGCAGAACCTGCCTTACTCTAGGCAATGTTTCATGTTTTTACCTCACTTGTCATCTCAGCCCATGTCAAAATGCATCATCTTCAATTCAGATTTTCTCTCCTTCTGATACCTTGGAAGAACACCATCTAATATTTGCCAAAATAGCATGTCACATCCCAATAATTTGCCCATTACAAACGCATCTGTAACAGGATGCCTCCCACTCAATTTCTACAACTTCTACTTTTACTAACTCCTTTAAAATGGAAAATAAAAAACCTCACAGGCAAAGCAAACGTAAAGAATATTTAGGCAAGACCTTAAGTGCGCCTTTCTTGACTGAACTCTTATTTTCTTCCCTTCACCAACTAACTTCACATTATCACATCTCTCATAAATAACCTTTGTCAGTCTGAAGATTGGTTTCGATCCTAAAGCTCACCAAATTAACTCTACAAGACAGTAGAATGCACACTCGCTAAGATTATCCAGATTCCAAGTTTAAAGCCTTTACTTTTTCCTCATTTAGTAATTTAATGGACTGAAAGCTAACATATGCCAGTAGGCATCTTACAAACAAAATTTCTCCATAAAAGTGGGGTAAAACAAGAAAATGCTCATAAAGTGCAAATAGAGAAATTAATAACATTACATATGCACAAAGAGAATAGGGAAGAAGCCCACACCACAAAGATAACAGTCTAAGTATAACAGCATCAGCAGCATTTGGAGCATGGGAAAGCATTACCATTCTCATTGATAGCATCAAGGAACAAGTACTGCAAGGCAATAAAAACAATTGATTGCAACAGAATATACACACAGAAGCAATGTTGTCGAAACTATACACAAGTAATATATTGCCTCGTGATAAAAGGACATGCCATGCATTGGCAGTTTCTTACACCAAACAATGGCAATATTGCAGCACTAGCATTGCAAAAACAGGACGACTCAAAGCATTTGAAAAGATTGCCGCTATTTTCAGCTATCTTCAGTCACAATTGAAAATTCTAGCAGCAAAAGTAACTTTCACCCATCTTTTTCCAACTTGAGTATCATCTAAGTCCATCAATCAAAGCCTCCAATTCTCTCCTCCCATATCTCCTACCCTCAGCATTAGCTTCCCTACACCTCACCACAAAGTAAAATATCAACCAAGCCACCATGAAATACACCTCCAAAGCTGCCTGAATTACAGTAGCGAAAAATTCCCCACCTATATGAGTCAAAACCCATCTTGCAAGAGACCCACCTAAGATAGCTTCGTAACACTTAATCTGTATTGCTTGGTTCAACAGTGTTGACATCAAATAACAACCTTCTTTAATAATTTCCCTCCCAGTTCTCCTTGAATCCACAATGGCAAGCCAAGCAGCTAATGAGAATGCAAATGACACTAAAGTATCCACCAAAAACCATGTAAACAAAAACGCAGAAATTTCCTTCTCAAAACCCCTAATCCACGGTGACATAACCGAAAAAGGCATCAACTTTAACCTAACAAAAAGCTTGAAAAACGAGAAATGATCCTCAATTTCTCCAAAATACCATAATCCAAGAAGCTGAGTCACCGCGTCTCTTACCGCCCATTTCATTAAAACGAACCCAGTGAGTCTTTTCAAACCCATTTTTGACCCATCCCAAAATGCCCCAAAAAAGGAAACAAATCTTCCAATCAAGTCATTAACAATTGTAACAAAAACAACACCCAAAACCAAAGAGTAAATCGCTGTAAACCCTAGAATTACCCATCCATACGCCGCCGATAAAAAGCTGATGAGAAAGAAAAGCGTCGCTGCGTCACGACGGCCCAACTCCAATCCTTTATAAACTAACTGAAAATCCACAATTCTTTCTTCTTGGCGTTTCCCTTCATTCTTTTCGTAGTCAAACCACGCCGTTTTGAATTTGACTCCGTAATGAACGATTTCACCTAGCAGAATTCCATTATCCGCTACAAAATTCGAAAACCCCAATTTAGTATCGAAGTTGGAAAGAATTACCGGCGTGCGGTTGAGGGGACGGTTAGGGAAAGAACCGAAGAGAGAGCCGTCGCGGTGATCATCGTCAGACGAAAAGAAGTCATCGTCGAGAGTGCCGACGCGCGTGAGGTGGAGAAAAGGTCGGCGCGTCTGGCGACGAGTGGGGTGGATACGCGCGTGGGGGTGGGAAGGGTGGAGGTCGAGGCGGGAAAGGAGAGATTTGAAAGAAGGATCGCGGTCAATAAAGGTAGTGACAAGAAAGGAACCGGATTCAACTACGGAACGAAAAGAGACGAGGAACAAAGAAAGGAAGATGAACATGAAAGGGCGGGCGGTGAAATGCACGGCGGCTTTTTTTAGGATCTGGGATGTGGACCGTAGTTGGCCGAACCGGTGGCGGTGATCGGTCATGGCCTTTTTTTTTTTTTTTTTTTTTTGGGTTCAGATTTATGGGAAGTGAAGCATTAGGTGTGAGAAATAATGAGCAAGGGATTCTGTTTTTCTGGTTTTCCGTTTCCCTTATACGGTTTAAGCATTTATTTATTTATTTATTATTGGTAGTTGAGAGTTGGCTGGAAAGTTGGAGGAAAGGAGCAGGTTTGGAAAATGTCCGAGCCTAGAAATTATTATAGGCTGATTTTTAATAATTGGGCCCACAAATGGGCCCTAGATTGATCCAATAATAATAATAAATATGTAAAAGAAAAAAAATACAAATAAATTACAAAAAAAAAATCACTTAATTAATTTCAAACTAAATTTATATTTCGAATTTAATTATCTTGAGGCTTGTTTTATTATATTTATCTTAAACTTGTAACGAATATTAAATCTTTTGATGATATTTTTGGGTGTCTTAATTGGAGAAAAGTTGATTAAAACTTGAAGTGAAATGATATGAACCTGTAATAAAAAAACATGATTATTCAAGATGTATTACGATGCTCAAATCAATGAAGTGTTTAGGGTTTGAAAAGAAAAAAGGTGAAATATACCGAGAAATCTCTAATGGAAGGGAATGCTTAAGTCTTGCGGAACCTCTTTAATTGCTCCGTTCCTAACATCCATGGAGGCATAGGTTGATGATGACACAGTCAGTTTCAAGTGCCAGGTTATC